CTTTCTCCCCCCTATTCCTGCTGTGTTCAGCTTTTAGGAAAATGAAACCAACAAGAAAACAAGCTAATTTCAGGGATTTCGTTTCAGAAAAACAACTTTGAAAGGATGTCCCAGGTCCAGCCCACACTCAGCCAATCTCTCAGTCCCCTCTGCACCTCTAGTTTACCAACCAATAGTGAGAAGAGCTCACCCCGAGGGCTTATGATTCTCAGTTCGCAAATAACGGCTCGATCCCTAGATCGCAGGCTTTGCTAAAGGGCGACCACCAACCTAAATGTCTCTGTAGAAAGATTTTCAAACAGCAGGGGTAGGGGAGGCAGGGGCAGATAGGAGGGGTAGAGGGAGAAGTTGGAGGAACCCAAAAGGCTTTCTGTGTAACCCTCGGCACACCGGAAAATTCCTCTGCCCAGAATAGCTGAGCCAAATGTTGCAGTGAGTGGAAGCTTGTGCTGTTATAGGGTATCTGTGATCTGATCTAACTTTTCTGAGTAAAGTGCTGATCTATGAGGCTCTCAGCGTCCTTGTGTCTCTGGAGGTGGGCCTCAGGCAGGAAACAGTGGCCTAAGGATTCAACGGCATAGTAACTCCAACATGTGTGTTTCCAAATTTCCTTTCTTCCATCATGGTAGGCTGGACCCAGAGCCACCGTGGTCACAGCGCCCAGCTGATGAGCCAGGTCCTTTGCTGGCTCTCGGTTCTAGGCCTACAGCTATGGGATTCTGTGATTAAACAGGCACAGCTGACCCTCCCTCTCTCAGGGTGACCTTCTAGGTGGAGGGTGGCATGAGGAGGATGGGGTCAACTCCCGCCGTTTCAGGTGGCCCTGGAAGCCAACTTGTTCCCTTTGAAGTGGAAGAAGTGTCTCAACATCGTCACTGTTCTGTTCCACTTCAAAAGCCAGACTCTCTAGGACAAGAGCCCTTCCTGTTTCGGGTTCCCATGGCACAGGAAGGCGGAGACTGGGCAGTCTGGGCCTCATAACCTGTGGGCAGGATCTCAGCACGCTGCCGAGGGGGGGGAGGCAGACGCAGGGTGGGTGCGGTAGGTAGGGGGTGGTGAGAAGGGGGAACATCTCACTTCCCTTTTTTTCACACTCGAAGCATTGTGTACCACGCAGCCCAAAGGAAACTCTTTATAGGCAAGTCTTCCTTATTTTCTACAGGGAATGTTCCACCCCCAAGGCTCGGCAATGTTGGCGGCGAAACACAGGGTCTTGTGGCAGGAGAAGCGGGAAAAGACACGACGCGAGAGGCGCGGGAGAAGCCACCAAGCAAACGCTGCGTTAGGAGCTGGACAAGGAAATCAAAAAGGATGCTGAGCGCCAGAGTGTTAGCACAGTTGACAGGGTGGCTGCAAAACAACCCTCCCCATTTACCCCTCCACGGTGGCCCCCTTCTGCCTGAAGCTCTGTCTACTTCTAATTACTGACGTCCCTTTTTCTGAAGAGGCTGGGGGAATAAGGAGGCTGAAATGCCATCATTTAACTTGTGCTGGCTTCACTCTTCTCTCTTCCCCTTGGTTCCACTCCAGTGTGGGAGACTATAGACAGGAAGGATGCTGCCACTTAATCTTTACTTTGGCCTCATGGAAAATCCCCAAAGTCTAGAAGGAGGGAAGCAAGAAGGAAAGACGGAGACAGACAAAGTGCCTTGTCCTCTGTGGGTCACGTGAACTGCCCTGCATGGCCAGGGCCCAGAACATCGACTTTAGGGGGCAGGAAAACAGGGAGGAGGATGCGCACGCAGATGCAGAAGGCAGTGGTGGGCAGCAGGGAGCCCACGAGGAATCGTGGAGAGGGACACTGTCTTGGAAAAGTGGCTCTAGCAACTGATTTGGGCCAAACCCTGGCACTGAATGATGGCAGGAGCAATGAATTGTGCCTTTCAGCTCCCTCCCCAGACAGGATCCAATGTGAGCTCCACAATCTCCCAGTGACACGAGGGCTGACAGGCAGAACCAAACTCCATTTGGACAAGGCACTCCACTCCACTCACCCTCGTTCAAAGAAGTCAAAAAGGGCTCTTGTCAAATCACCTTTGTTACCCCAACTTTGGTGGCTAACTATGGGGGGTAGGCAGTCTCTCCTGGCATCTCAGCAAGACTGGAAGTACTGGCAATGTTATCCAGGAATGAATGCAATTTAGCTCAGTGGATCTTAAATTTCATGAACCTTGTATCAATATTTATGCTTGTCTCCCTTCTCTTTTTGCCTTGCAGCTGGGAAAATTTACATCCATCATTTTTCTAAGCTCTCTTCTCATTTTCCACCATCCCCATTACCCATCTACAAGTATGAAACAGATATTCCTGAAAAAAAAAGAATGTCAAATTAACCTCGGTAAATGGAATCCCCTCCTCCACCCAACACTAGTTGCCATTATCATTCAATACAATTCAATTCAACTCAATTCAAAGTTGATTGACTGCCTATTCAAAGTACAAGGCACATTTCAGGGAAATTAAAAACAAACAAACAAACTGGTAGTGCAGGTTAACAACTGTGCTTCCTTCCAGAATATCCTGGGCCTCTGGTGAACTCTGAAGTCTACCTACTGGTTAGATCTCAGTGAAATGTTTACTTCAGGAAAAAGCCTAGGGCTTGGGGGTGCTCAGGAGGGTAGCCTGGGGTTTGGGAAGGCCACACTACCGCCATCACCCCTGGCATCACTTCAGTCCTCAGAATCGGGCCCGCCTTTTTTCTCCCCACCCTGTCGTTTGGTCCATGCCCATCTAGATGGGGATTAACATAGCAGCCACAAAACTTGGAATTTCTGTGGGACCCAAGGCTCCTCTGACATGGTGGCCAACAGTGTCAGGGTCTCTCACTCTGATTCCCTTCCTTTGTAAACCAGGGGAACAAAGCACAGGTCCTTAAGGGTCTCTGAGTTGCCAGTCCCTTCCTTCTGAGAAGGGGGCCTATGTTTAGCACGGGCAGGGGGTCACCTCTATCTGTCAACCTCCTCGTGGTCTTATCCTTGTTCTATAGTGCCCTCCCAGACCAGCGAGCATCTTCAAGTGGGCAAATAAACTCCCTCATCACGGCCCACCTTCTGGGAATCCTGGCCCTCGACAGCCTTCTCAGGGGCTGGGAAAGGAAGCAGCAAGAACATGGCTACTCTCCATGTTTGTTTGTCTGCACCAGCCCCCCACCAGCTTCTCCGGGCCAGGGAGACACTGGCAGGGCCTCTCCCCAGTCCTTTTGCTTTATGGAGCAGTCCCAAGAGCCGAAATTCCGAGGCTTTTTTTTTTTTCTGGCAGTTGCCAGGGTAACTCTGAGTGGTATGTGAAGGACTTGGGACTATTGGCAATGCCTGGAAGATGAGAACCAGGAGAGTCTTGCTGGGGACGCTGAGCCAGCAGACAAGGGGCCTGTGAAGAGGCCAGGGGCTCTGAGGTGCAGCACCTGACTCCCCTGTGGGCCCCGCTATAGAATGGGTGACCTCTAAAGTGGTCCAGGTTCCCTGGGGAACAAAACGACGGTAATAACGCCGGCCTCTTCAGGCGCGGGGGCTCCTGGGCCACGATGGGTGAGCATTATGAGCCTCCCAAGGCTCTCACATTGTACGTCCGAGGCCCTTGTTTAACTCACAGCAGAGCTATTCACCGTGGGCTCACTTGAGGTAGCTCCTTGATCCTCTGTTGTGGGACTCTGTGACTTGTGAGGAAAGGCTCTGTAATTGCAAAGGGCCTCTGGCTCTCCAGTCGCCTCCCCCCTCCCTTGGGTTTCCTGGATGGAAAGAAGGCAGCCCAGCTGAGGTGGGGGGCGGTGGCAGGAAGGGGCAGGGGACACACTAGTCTGAGAAGAGAAAGAAAGGAGAGAAACAAGGCAAGCTTCTCCCTGGGGCCCCCCCCCCCCAGCCCCAGCCATGGGAACAGAGCCAGGCAGCTCAAAGGCATGCGGGGAGGGGTTAAGGAAGGCCTCCTGCCCGGTTTGAGAATTGCTGACAAGGAATACACACACCTTATCAGGAAGAAAGGGTGGCACACAAGCGCGCGCGCACGCACACACACACACACACACACACACACGTTTATGCAAACACCTGTTCAGCCTTTGACAAAGTCTAATTCACAGAGCTAGGCACGCAGAGGGCATCATTCCATCTCTCTCTCTCTCACCTGATGCCAGCTTCGTGACCCCCAAAGGGGTAGTAAAGCAATAGGATATGGCAAAGTGGCAAGGCAGGACACTGTAGACCCAGTCAGAGTGTCACAAGCCGTGGCCTCTGCTCTCTCTGACATCCAGAGCTGGCTGCATGCTGTGCAGGGGTCATAGGTGACAGGCTCTTGGGGGAAGCTTGGAGTGGAAGTCAGGTGGGCATAGGGGGAACCAGCTTGAAGCTTCACACTGTACACCGGGCACAGGAAGTGCTGGTGCCGCCAGGTCCACAGTTTTCAAAGATGTCAATCACACATTCAAATGAAAGAGAAATAAAAACAAGCACCATTTGTGTACAATCAATCATGTGAATGCCTAGGAAATGATTCCCATAGGCTCCTCACGAGGGCAGTTCTAAAGAGAGCCAGTCCTGGCATAGATGTCACATGTGACTGACGACCTGCGAAGTGTGATTTGAATGGCACTGATAAAAATTCCTCTCAGTCCAAGCTGTTTGCCTGACCGGACTACTGCAGTGCCTACAAACGTCACCCTCGGAGTCATACCTTTGAGTTATAATGGAATTCTTTACACTTTGAGGAATTAGGGAAGTTTTTTCTTCCAGTGCAAAAGCCCTGGGAAAGTACCACATTCTGCCACTATCAGCTACAAATACTTAAATAGGGATAAACTAAGTTTCTGTAATACTTTCAACACAGTAGTCCGTGGTGGATCAGCATCAGAAGATGACTAAACACACAGCAGGTACACCTTGCCGGTGGGCTGCAGGGGGAAAGAAATGGGTCCAGGTGAGGAGAGTACGGATATCCTGGGCTCCAGCCCTAGAAAATCTAGTGGAATACGTCTGTGGCTTGAGAAGGGTACTTTCAGGAGATGAGGATGCAGCTCTTCTGGCCCCAGTCCATGGAACTGCTTTTGGGAACCACTGGCCTACAGGTGAGAGCCAAGGCAGGATCTACCCGAAGACTCCCCAAAGTGCCACGGCCACCACGACCCACTCTGTGTGACACATGATGATGGGGCTCAGCATATTCTGAGCCTAACATCTGTTCAGTCATCTCCTTCCCTGTCATGTTTGGCTACCTCCTTCCCTCTCACTCCTGAAAACTTCATCAGAACGTGAATGAGAGCTGCTATTAGAAAGATAACGCAAACTTGCTCTGATTTATAAATCAACCTTTGGCAAATTTGGCTTCTCTGTTATGAGGAACAGATTGCTTCTAAGACACTTCACAGCTGTCCGTCGGAACTCTTGGCCTGGGAGGTTGGAGGCGTGGGGGGCAGGTATCACAGGGCGGGAAGGGAGAAGACCCCAGAGAGAGGGAGAGAACTGAGAGGGGCTGATTTTCCTCCAACAGCACAGTCTGGTCAGTTAAGCTGCCCTACCCGCCTTCAACAAAAGCCAGCTCTCCTCCAGCCCTGTGGCTGTCCCTGCCTGGTCAAACGTGGGTCATTCCGAGCTTGGCTGGAGGGCTGTGACTCATTCCCCCCTCAGGAGCTTGCTGGGGCTGACTACAAAGACTTGGCAGGATCTCTGCAAACGTGCCCATCCCGTCCCTGAGCCAAGCCTTGCGCTCCCCTGCCCCTACCATCCGCATCCCATCCCGCGGCTTGCAAGCGCCTGCGGGGCAAGGAGAGCGCCCCTGCGGCTCACTGACTCCCCTCTCCCAAGGGAATTCACTGCTCTCTGTGGTACGCATCCGGCCTGTGTTTCAGTATTTTATTTTATTTTTATGTTTAATTTACACTGCCTGTTAGGTTTGGGGCTTAAATAAACAAAGGCTATGTTTCCCCCAAGGCCTGGACTTCCTGGTTGCCTGTCAGCAACAGAGTAACCCTTTTAACCTCTTTTCTTGCCCCTTGAGACAGGCAGTGTTGGGGATGGGATTGGAAGAGAAAGATACTTTGGGTCAAAAGCCTGGAAATTCTTAGTGCCAGCCTAAAGTACCACCCCCTCGCTCTTCTCCACATGAATGTTAAGCCCCGAAGCTGCCTTAGCAAGTATAGACTTCCTTCAAAGGCCACTGCAAGACTGTAAGGGATAAGGCACAAAAACGGAAAATTCAAAGTATTTGCACTGATTATTTGAAAAATCTACTTACAGATGTCTTTGTGCCACCGAGCAAAGACAGAAGGGCCCAGGTCTTGGTGGATGGAGCCTTAGCAGCGAGCAGCCTTAAAGGCCTATAGACTGAGCAGAGCTCAGTGGGCCTGCCTGGGAAAGGCTTCCTGCCAAAGCTCATACACCTTAAAAAATAAGAGGAACACCGGCCCCCTTGTCCTAGGATAGAGCTCTAACAGCAAAGTAACAAATCCTGGTCAACAGTTCTGACATCCTGTTATTTGCTAAAACTAATAATACTGTGGTGTTTGTTGACAGAGTTGCAGAAGAGCTAAAGTAAACATGGAAACTGAGGAAAGGCCAAGTATAGACAGTTACTAGCTCAGCAGTTGAGAAAAGGGAGTTTCACAGACACTCCTTGGACATCTGGGGGCAATGGGGCCTGAACACAGTTGGGAGACAATCCAGAAGCATCTGTCTTGTCACCAGGTGATTTCTCTCTAACAATAGGCTGCTGCAATAATGGGCTTGGCCCATGGAGCTGAGTCCTCAGACAGAGAGTAATGACAAGACGAATTGAGAGGGACTCTCCTAGTGCGTATGCTAGGGTAGGTGCCCCCTGAGAAACGCAGCTCTGGCACCCATTCTAAATGAACTAGGTCAAGTGGGAAGAAAATACGTCAGAAGGCCAGAGTTCCTTTTCTACCTTACCACCAGGCCCCCAGAACTGCTTAGAAGGCTTCTAAACCCCCTATGCTACTAGCTCCTCATTCATGAAATGGGAATGATGCCCCCCTGCCCACACATAAACAACACACAAGGTGTATATGTTTATGGACTCCCCAAAGTCTGGAAATGGAGATAACATTGTATACTTTTTGCAGACTGATGATGTCCTTGACAACATGTATATATGTGCCTATGCTTCCAGACATGGTGGATATCCTATAGGCGGCATAGCTGAGTTCTTCAGGTAGTAAAAAGGGCCACGTGAATGCGATATGTGCCATGATGAGTAAGGGCCCTGGTCCTCAAATGCTGTTGGCAAAATGGCTCACCAAACGAGCAGTCCTATCAATGCTGTTTCAAAGTCCAGCATTTCTAACTTCCTGTCCAGTTCCAGTTTGTTGTTTCCATGATTTCACAAGTTATGGATACTGCCTATGGGGAGGGGCATAGTTTGAGGGACTGATGTTCAGATGGAATCAACACTCAAAATTTAGTGTCTTGACAGGCGGAGGCGAAGCAGGCGGTGGATGAGATGTTTTCCGAGGGTGCCGGGCCCTACGTGGATCTGGACGAGGCAGGAGGCAGCACAGGGCTCCTGATGGACTTGGCAACCAATGAAAAGGCAGTTCATGCAGACTTTTTTAATGATTCTGAAAATCTCTTTGATGATGATGATATCCAGTGAGGTGTGTCCAGCGGTGTGTTTGCTCAAGCTTTGCCACGTGGTGGTGTGGCGGATCTCCTCAAAGGACAATTTCAGATGGTTCCAGAGAACTTGTGGAAATCACTTGAAATTAGGAGATGGTTAACCAAGAAAGAGAAGATGGTTTTAACCATCTGGATGAGGCCTGTTAATCTCTGAATGTGGCCAGCTTTTGTCCTTAACTTCAATTTAAAAAAGTGATGTTATTAAAAGAAGTTTTTTTGCATCTTGACGGTCTTAGCAATCCTTCCCTCACAGAGGACTTGTAACTTGCATAAAGTTTTGGCCTTGAGAGCTTCTCCAATGGCACAGTCAGTAATCAGCAGGACCCCTAGTCTTTCAAGCAGGACTGAAGGCACAGCGAGATAAGATCATGACCACTGGAAGTGGACAGTGCAAATGGTCTCAAGTGAGCAGTGATTGGCTTTCTAGACTAGAATACAAGCTCTTCGAGGGCAGGGGCTTATCTTATTCATCACGGTACCCCCAGAGTCTAGACTAGTGCCTGGCACACAGTCTCGATGCCATAAACATGTGCTTAATAAGTAAAGAGAAGGTTTAGATAAGTACTAGAACTTGGCTAATGGCCTCCACAGGGAAGAACTATAGGCAAATTCATGATTTGCCTCCTCTTAACATGTTAATTTGGGGACAATCATTGTACGAGAACAACTCTGCAGTTAAAAACATGGAAGACTGGTGAAAATCAAACATACGTGGAAAACCCAACCCAAACACAATTTAATTGAGTAAGTGGCCACTAATGACCTGGAACCAAGGCCCGACCTCTTCAATAAAAGGGATAATTCACCCGTGTGTGTGCTCCTGGTTCTGCACTAAATGCTGGGACTTTGCTCAGTTCCCATCTTTAGCTGGAGGGGCTGGGTCAGTTGGGAACAGGGCACCCACAGGGAGCAGTAGAGGGTGATGAAGCCCAGGAGGAGGGCAGCCAAGTCTCAGCTGGCAGTAACATCAAAGAAGGATTTCAGGCTAGCAAGCCTGATTCTGAGCAAGTGACAGCCATATAACTGGAACGATGCGGCGGGGGTGGGTTGCAGATAAAAAATCCATCCTGACTAAAAATACCCTGATGACCGCCAACATAAAGGAAATTCTCACCATTAATGTCATCCTTGGGTTTGAAGTCTTGAGGGTCCCTGTTAAAATGAAAGGTCTTTCTCAGAAGGGGAACTATTTAGTTTTTCTCCGGGAAGGAACATGATGACCTGCTCACTGTGGTCCGAATAGTTGGGGGGCTTCTGGGAGAAGTGACCCAGGCTGACTAAGTATATAGACTAGGGGGGTACTGCCTGGGGTGGGCCATACAATGGGTCCTGGCTAACTGGTGGCCTTAGGCTTTCAGGGGACAGGCAAATGTGCCCAAATATTCCTGGACTCACTGTAAAGAAACCAAACTGCCTGAGTGGGCAGCTTTGAGTAGCAGAGTTTATGACAAAGGAGATTATTTTCTCCTGCTCTTCTTGGTAAACACAAGCAAACTGTTCTGAAGGGGCCGCGAGGAGCAGTAATATATATACATATATGTCCAAGCCCGGCTGGGGGTATCTATCTTCAGTGCTTTCCCGTCCGGGGAATCTTGTTTGCATATGCTCATCAAAGCATCCTCCCTGGAAATCTCCTCCTCAGGTCCTACTGACTCACTGATAAGTTGGCATAGGTGAGAAATGGAAGGCTCTGTGACTGATAAGGGGTTGATGGGTTCTCCTTCCCCGTGGTAATTTCTTTTTACCAAGAGCCTCCTGTTGACCCAAAGGAATGAGTCCAGTGGGGGAAATGCCAGGCAGGAGGTCAGGTTGCTGGGGGGAGCTTTCTTTGGCCATTTTCCACCAGTCTCTGTTGGCAGTTGCCTTCTCTGCCTGTGTAGCAGGCGACCCTGGCAGCAGACACAATACTCACACCAGAGCTGGCCAGGGCAGCCCTTGCCCCTCAGCACCCCTCCTTCTTGCCCTTGTAAAACTGGCAAAACCTCAGCCCCAGAACCCCACTCTAGCTTGACCAGGTGATGGCCAACTGCTTGATACCAGGCAGAGCTGGGCCGATGGAGGGAGGCAGGGGAGTAGGGCTGGGCAGGTTCCCCCACCCCCGTGGCTCTGTTGTGAGGTGCTGACAGCTGAGAGAGGACCTGAAACCAGTTAGCCTGGGGCTCCCAGCCAGCAGTGTATTTTCATCTTGTTTTGACTGGGACTGTCCTCCTCTGTGTAAACACGTCCATGTCAAGGGGAAGAAAATGTAGAACAGCTTAAAATAGGTGGGTGGAATGCATCCCACCCATGAATCACCAGCTCAGGGAATGCCCTGCAGGTAGGCCTTGCTTTAAGCAAACCTGACATATGAAAACCTTAATTCAACAAGAGGGTAGGGATGCACCGCTGCTGTTAGGTCTTGACCTATCACTGAGAGATCTCAAAGCCACATCTGGTCCAAATAATAACTTCAGTAGCTCCCATGTACTGATTACTTAGCAGGCACTGTGCTAAGAGTATATTCATTAGCCTTTTGAACGTTGTCTAGAGTTATGGATAACTGATAGTAGGAACTGGGTATCGTATTATCATTAGGCCCATTTTGTGGATGAGGAAACTGAGGCCCAGACAGGTTAAGTGACTTGCCTAGAGTTACGTAGCTCGTAGTGGCAGAGGAGAGATGTGAACCTCTGGGGTGTGATTCTAAAGCTCCAGGCTGTCTCTAGCTGGGCATTTAGCTTTGTCTTGAGATTTCTAGGCAGGGCTACATTCTTGGCATGAATGTCCATTCGTGCTGAGCCCCCTTCATCACAGTTTGCAGGGGAATGATTAACAGGCCTTTATCAGGGTTAGGGTGGGGAAACCCCCCAGGTGGGGGCTGGTTCCTTCCACTGACTAAAGGATTCCCATAAGGGGGGCCCCCCTAGCATGCCAGGATGGGACGGATCTGCATTTCATTTCAGGCCTGGCAGACTGTTTAAGGGCAACTGCTTGACCAGACACAGGGAAGCCCCCTCCTAATTGCAAATAAGTACAAACTACTCGACACCAGGCTGGGGTAGGGACAAAAAGACTCAGTATAATCCAGTATAAGGAAAGACCAAATGTAAACATGTATTTTGAAAAAAAATGTCACCGATCACAATGTTGGTGCAGGGCTGGCCCCCAGGCTAAACTGTGAAGTAGGGGTGTGTCTTCACAACCTTCCTGCTTCCTTTTCGGGTACCTTCTTCCTGCCTGTCCCTGCAGGTGACCTGTGCCCTCCTGCTGCCTAGGGTTCCATGGGGCCCCTCACTACTGTTTGCAGCTGCCTGTCTTCCCTAGCAATACCCCCTTTAAGGGGGACTCTTAGTCTCCCTCCCCCAAATCATAAGTACCCAGCCCATCCTAAAGGACAAATCGGGAGATGTGTCTGTGTAAGTGATAAGTAGTAGCTTAACAGGTTTTCCCCAGATCATGGGGCTCTAACCCTTAGATTTCAGTCAGTGGTACAATTTTAGGCATGGGCGGGGGGTGTGGCGGTGGGCAGAGAACAAGCTGGGTGGGGGCAACAGTGGGAGGGGTGAGACTGCTCGTCAGTGACCTTCAAATCTTGCCAAGTAGGCCATGTGCTCCTGTCAAGTCTGGGTCTGCATGGAGGGATAAACGCTCCACCCTTACACTCATGCTGTATTGTTTCCAGAGCATGGTAGACAGGGCACTGGGATAAGAGTCAGGAGACAGGAGTCTGGCCTGGTTTTGCCTCTGGCTACCGGAACAACCTTGGAAAAGTCTCATAACCACTCTGAGTCCCAGTTTCCCCTAAATGTAAAATGAGAGGATCAAGGCTGCGAATTTATAGTTATTTGGGGGCTTATTTGATGAATGATAGCCCCATTTAGACTGGGAGCTCCATGAAGCCATATACCAAGGGCCTATAACAGTGTATGGCACATAGTAAGTGATCAATGAATGGAATAATTGAATGAATGAAGGAAGGAAGGAATGGCAAAAGTGACTTCTAAGGTTGCTGCCAGTTCCAACAGTCACAGCCTTGATGTCCTCAGATGCAGCTCTTTACAGCTGTGCCTCTGAGTGGAGAGGCCCAGGCCAAAGGCTGGGTTAGGCCTTCAGGCCCTTGCCCTCAGGACCAGAAGGTACAGGGGCAGCCTGCACTGCAGAGGGGCAGGCTCTGGGACCGAAAGCAGTAGGCAAGAGCTTCTGGGAGGCCCAGGAGGCTTGCAGGATGCTGGATGGGGTGGGGGGTTGATAAGGAATGTAGGAAGGGAAGGGTCGGTCAGGAGGAGTCAGGAGAGTAACTTTTACACAGTTTTCTGTAAAACGGGAAGCTGAGATAAGAGAGACTTGATGGGTGTCTGGGCTGAGGTAGGAAAAGTGCCGAGTTGCATGGTGACTCAAGGTCAGGAGCTGGAATGGGGCCCAGAGCTCTCAAGCCTCTGCTCACCCCCTTGGGACTGGCCTCTGGCTCCAGGCCAGCTCCCTGAATAGCTCCCCTCCCCCACTCAGCCGTCCACAATTCCAGCTTCTTACACCAACCTGCTTCCCTGTCCAGCTGATGCCTTGGCTGTCCCCTCCCCCTCCCCCACTGAGACATGAAGTCCTCCCCCAACCTCCCTCCAAGACTCTGGTGCAGTCACCCATTAGACCTCTAAAAGCAGACTTGCCCACCCCCCGTCTCAGCATCGCCCGCATTCAGACTCTGACGCAACTCCTCACCTTCTTACGCAAAAGCTGCCTCCCTCCCCTCCCCTCCCTTCCTGGCCTGTCCCCCTGCCCTCCCCTCCCCCACCCCACTCCGTGGCCAGGGCACTCTCCTAGGAATAGTCCCAGACAATATTCTAAGGCGCTGAGATATTCTCGCGTGTCTCCACTCTTTCAACAAGAGGGTAGGGATGCACCGCTGCTGTTAGGTCTTGACCTATCACTGAGAGATCTCAAAGCCACATCTGGTCCAAATAATAACTTCAGTAGCTCCCATGTACTGATTACTTAGCAGGC